AGAGTTCCAGAAAAACATCTATTTCTGCTTTATTGACTATGCCAAAGCCTTTGACTGTGTGGATCACAATAAACTGTGGAAAATTCTGAAAGAGATGGGAATACCAGACCACCTGACCTGCCTCTTGAGGAACCTGTATGCAGGTTAGGAAGCAACAGTTAGAACTGGGCATGGAACAACAGACTGGTTCCAAATAGGAAAAGGAGTACACCAAGGCTGTATATTGTCACCCTGCTTATTTAACTTATATGCAGAATACATCATGAGAAGCTCTGGACTGGATGAAGCACAAGCTGGAATCAAGATTGCCAGGAGAAATATCAATAACCTCAGATATGCAAATGACCCCACCCTTATGGCAGAAAGTGAAGAAGAACTAAAGAGACTCTTGATGAAAGTAAAAGAGAGGAGAGTGAAAAAGTTGGCTTAAAGCTCAATATTCACAAAACTGAAACTAAGATTATGGTATCCAGTCCTATCACTTCATGGCAAATAGATGGGGAAACAGTGGAAACAGTGGCTGATTTTATTTTTCTGGGCCCAAAAATCACTGCAGATGGTGATTGCAGCCATGAAATTAAAAGACGCTTACTCCTTGGAAGGAAGGTTATGACCAACCTAGACAGCATGTTAAAAAGCAGAGGCATTAAAAAAAAAAAAAGCAGAGGCATTACTTTGTCAACAAAGGTCTGCCTAGCCAAGGCTATGGTTTTTCCAATGGTCACGTATGGATATGAGAGTTGGACTATAAAGAAAACTGAGCACAGAAGAATTGATGCTTTTGAACTGAGGTGTTGGAGAAGACTCTTGAGAGTCCCTTGGACTGCAAGGAGATTGAACCAGTCCATTCTAAAGGAGATCAATCCTGGTTGTTCACTGGAAGGACTGATGTTGAAGCTGAAACTTCAATCCATTGGCCACCTGATATGAGGAGCTGACTCATTGGAAAAGACCCTGATTCTGGGAAAGATTGAGGGCAGGAGGAGAAGGGGATGACAGAGGATAAGATGGTTGGATGGCATCACCAACTCAATAGACATGGGTTTCGGTGGACTCCGGGAGTTGGTGATGGACATGGAGGCCTGGCGTGCTGGGGTTCATGGGGTCACTAAGAGTCTGACACGACTGAGCAACTGAACTGAACTGATTGGTCTAGTGGTTTTCCCTACTTTCTTCACTGTAAGTCTGAGTTTGGCAATAAGGAGTTCATTATCTGAGCCACAGTCAGCTCCCTGTCTTGTTTTTGCTGTCTGTATAGAGCTTCTCCATCTTCAGCTGCATAGAATATAATCAATCTGATTTTGGCGTTGGCCATCTGGTGATGTCCATATGTAGAGTCTGCTGTTGTGTTGTTGGAAGAGGGTGTTTGCTATGACCAGTGCATTCTCTTGGCAAAACTCCGTTAGCCTCGGACCTGCTTTGTTTTGTGCTCCAAGGCCAAATTTGCCTGTTACTCCAGGTGTTTCTTGACTTCCTACCTTTGCATTCCAATCCCCTATAATGAAAAGGACATTTTGGGGGGATGCTATTTCTAGAAGGTCTTGTAGGTCTTCATAGAACTGTTCAACTTCAGCTTCTTCAGCATTGCTGGCCAGGGCATAGTGTTGGATTACTGTGATATTGAATGGTTTGCCTTGGAAATGAACAGAGATCATTCTGTCGTTTTTGAGATTGCATCCAAGTACTGCATTTTGTTGACTAAGATGGCTACTCCATTTGTTCTAAGGGATTCTTGCCTACAGTAGTACAACTCAATCCTAAGAGTCGAGGAACTCCATACGTGGCTGCTCTCTCCCCCTTGGCAGTTCTGCCATGCCAACATTGGAGCCCTAAGTGGGGGAGAATGGGACCCTGAGATGTAGGATGGGGGCATCTGGGTTGATGAACTCTTGAAGATCCAGAGTTCCCAAACTTCCCTAATCCCTCTGGGCTTGCAGAAGTGTTCATTTTTCTGCCAATATTTAGTTACCTCCATTCTTGAAGATGATTCAGAAGCTTCAGTCTTGAAATATAGCACAAGCTCCCTCACTATCTTCTCCCACCTTTCTTTGTTGCAGACCAATGACTAGAGTTCAGTTCAGTTCAGTTCATTTCAGTCGCTCAGTCGTGTCCAACTCTTTGCGACCCCATGAACTACAGCACGCCAGGCCTCCCTGTCCATCACCAACTCCCAGAGTTTACACAAACTCATGTCCATTGAGTCGGTGATGCCATCCAACCATCTTATCCTCTGTCATCCCCCTCTCCTCCTGTCATCAATCTTTCCCAGAATCAGGGTCTTTTCAAGTGAGTCAGCTCTTCATATCAGGTGGCCAAAGTATTGGAGTTTCAGCTTCAACATCAGCCCTTCCAGTGAACACCCAGGACTGATCT